AAAAATTTAGGTAGCATCAAACATTATTTGTGAATAATATAGAATATTTTAGATGTTTTTATAGATGTATGAAATATTTTAAGTATTTTTAATATTTATATATCACACTTAAAAAGAATATTTTGCAAAAAAAAATAAATACACATTGTAATTGTTAATAGAAACAGTCTTCACTGTTCGTCTTTGATCTCAGTTACATATAAAATTTCTTTTTATTTGTCACATAATTTTTGGTGTGCATTAATTACAATTTGTATTTGTAAAATTGATAGCTTTTGCATTAATTTCAATTTGTATTTGTAAAATTGATAAATTGTTAAGCGTACAAATTCCTTTTTATGGTAACAACTTAAAAAAAAATGATAGTTTGAAATATTGTGTAGCCAAATCTTCATATGAAAGTAACATCATAATTATGGTATCTTATAAATCTTCTTTAAATCAACTTTAGCGTGAGATAATATCTTTATTTAGGCTTATAATATTTTAGATACTTAAACAAAATGTTCAGACATATTTTTTTGCATATTTTATCTATATGTACATATATATATACTCATATTTACGTAACACGTGTTAAGTTTTAATTATTTTTAGACATGTTTTCTTTACAAAATAGTTTAAAAAATCTTACATGCACATCTATACTTATATAAAAAGACATTCTATTTACTAGAATTAGTAGTAAGAAAAGTCAAAGGTAATTAATGCATTTTATTTCCATCAAGTATTTTGTTTAATTATTTTAGTTAATTGCTTTATCTCATAACACATTTTCAATACAACTTACCATGATTTTTCTATTGTGATTAAAAACCAAATTTTACGTTTAAAATCTTGTGAAATTATTATTATTATTTTTATAAAGCACATATTATTTGTTAAAAAATTGTATATATATATATAATACTCATCACAGTATCATGGTAGATGATTTAAATTTCAACAGACCAAAATGCTAATAATTTAAATTTGAACACACTTATGCGTTTGACCAAATGTCTGGATGATTTAAAATTGAGTCCATAAAAAATTATTTAAATTTGAACACACCAGAAATTTTATGTACTTTTTATTTATAAATATATTGAAAGTGGTATTTAATGGTTGTTATATAAACTAATTTAATATATTTGCAATGAATAAAAGTTTGAATGAATAATTTGTAATGTTATTCATAATGTTTGTGACTTATGAGACACGAACACATAATTCCATACATATTTGCCAGAGGGCGGCTTAATAATTTTTTAGACTTAACGTTGATTAAAAGAGGTAGAAAATAGATAATAACATTATTACTTTTTAGACTTAAACGGACAAGGCTGTGAAAATAACTCATTTAATATCTTTGTCCCGTGCATCACACGGGGTACGTACTAGTTTATATATGTCAATCATCCAATAAACTAAAAAAGAAAAGAATGAAACGAAATAGAAATTAGAAAGTAGAAAACCAAAATCTCCTTCCCTCATTGTCGCACATATTGAAGTAAAGATAAATTCAAGTGCAAGGGAACTCACTTCATTAGAGGGAAATATTAGTGCAAAATTATATGAGACATGATTTGGTGAGATATGGACCAACATCATAAAGATCCAAATAGTGATAATTTGAGATATCTTAATTATTGTTCAATTATGCTTAGAAAATCAAGAGAACTCAAATCTCATTAAGGTACCTACAAACAACTTGCTTTTTTTATTAATACTTTTTTCTATACTTTCAAGTAACCATTAATTATGAAAAAATAAAAAAATGTTGTTTCTTTTTTTCTCACGAGAAGAAATTGTTCTGCTTATCTCAACTGTGTACGTAAATACTGTGTTGGCTTGTTCCAAAATGTAAGATTAAAAAAAAAAATATTCTTATCTTTTCCGTATGTAGTTATATTATACAAGGAGATGTCTCTCGAGACGCCTCAAAAGATAAAGGATATGAGATGCATCGGCAATAGAAATCTCATATACTACGATGTTTATGAAGCCAAATATATGTTATGTTGTTTGCATCGTTAGTAGGTATTATTATCAAAGTAACTCAGGACAATGTAATTACACTGCGGTAAAACATATACTCGGATACTCGAAAAGGACCGGGACTAAAAAATTTGTATCAAAACTTGCTCACAGTAGTTTTCTCCTAATTGTCGGGATGAGATCTCATGCTTTATTTTCATTACACATGACTAACAATAGGTGCACAAAAGTGTTATCATTATTTGTTATTTATATATGCCGTTCATCTAATATAATGAAATATAAAATGAAGTGAAATAGAGAGTATGACTATATCCTTTCCTCTCACGGTCACAGTCACCGTCACAGTCAGACACAGATACCGAAGCAAAAATAACTTAAATAAATACAACAAAATAAATAAAAGCTAGCGCCAATAAATACGCTGCTGCGCATCTCTTTAGAGTTTAGTCTTTACCCAATTTTTCAATTTTCAATTTCCCCACCGCACACATACGCTGCCGCCGAATGGAGACGCCGCTGCTCAGGCAAATCCCCGCCGGGGATGATTCCCGCCTGATCGGCGACGACGGCGACTACCTTCCGGCGAGGGGCGCCGGGTCTTGGTGGAGAGTTTTCCGAACTGAGTCCGGCAAGCTGTGGCGGATCGGCGGGCCCATCGCGTTTCAGATACTGTGCCAGTTCGGAACAAACTCCGTCGCCATCATGTTCGTCGGCCGCCTGAGCGACGCCGACCTCTCTGCGTTCTCAATCGCTCTCTCCGTCATCCAGACCTTCTCTTTCGGATTCATGGTACGAGTTTTTCACCTCAATTTTTTATATATATTTTTCTTTTTTTGTGTGAGATTTATTTATCTTATATTATTCCTTTTTGTTCATATTTCATCATGATTGTGTGGTTGAAATCAATCGATGCAACTTGTTAATTGTGTAATTCACACAAACGAGCTAATATTGAGGATCGAAATCAATTGATGCAACTTGTTAATTGTGTAATTCAAACAATCAAGCTAAGATTTATCATGTTGATGCTCTTGTAACGAAAATTCATGTTTCGTTTGTTCGTCAATGTACGAGTTTGTTTGTGTTTGAATAATTTTGTTAACAAGTTTTAAATTGGTTTGATCTGATTAGGTCGAGTTTGGTTCTTTCGAAATCGCTGGTTGATCCAAAATAACAAGTTTTTGTAGCTTAATTTTCATGTCAACCTCAGCTCGATTAATAAACTAATGAGTTTTATTCGAAATTGAATGCGCGTGATTGTTTATGAATTGCACAGTAAATATCTCACTCAAAACTCAAATTTAATTCATATTTAACTCAACTCCACTATGTCCAATACTATCAATATAATTAAATAATATCAACCAATCATTATTACACATCACATCAACTTTAATTCACTATTCATTCACTCACATAATTTTAACTAACCATCACTTCCAATCATTTTCTCTTACTTTTACATCAAATCAATTCTAATTATTTTAATTTAAATATTATTTTAATATATCCACTAACAACTAACCATACTACATTTTCCAAACTTAACTATAGTTTAAAAAGAACTAGTTTTTGACTAGTTGAATTCATATCCAATCGCCCCATAAATATTTACTATAAACCACGTTTAGAATATAAGTATTACAATGTGATTAATATTCTTAAAAGAATTATAATTATTTAATATATTAATAGATATTTGAGGCCTAATTATTTATAAATTTAAAGTAAATTAAAATTCATGACAAATGAGAAAAAAAAATTTATAATGTGCGATTACTGGCGTGTGGTGTATGTTGACATTCATGATCAAAATATCGTTGACTTTTCTTCAGAAAGATGCATCACGTGGAAATATATAAATGCGGAAAAGATCTGTTTCTCGAGTCCATCCATCCATTTACTTTAAAATTGTTACGAAGACATCTCATAAAAAACAAATATAACCATAGACATAATTAATGTTTACTAAAAAATATGAAAAATGTAAAATAATTAAAAAAAAAAGGCAAGTTGTTAGATATGCTTGGATACAAATATTTTCTAAAAAATTCAATCATTTTTAACAATTCTCTTTTTTAAATCAAATTTAACTCAATTTTAACTCAACTTCAATACTAGTGCAACACCCGTGCGATGCACGGGCTAATTTTATTAAGGTAAACAGTTAAATTAGGATGATTGGAAGAACGTAAAACGCATGTATTAGAATAAACAAAATGCATCTTACATATTATTAAACACATCATTGTACATAATATTATTTGTTTGGTCTTTTGGTACATAGCTATCACTACAAATTAAATTAGGATTAAAGATAAGTTTAAATAAATCAAATTATTTATTTAACAGGATATATATATGATATTTTGTAAGTGTATACAATCACTATTTATTTTGTAAGTGTATGCAATCAATTTCAAATTTGTATTAATAGAGGATTAAACAAATGTTTCAATTCGATTTCATTTTGAATTGCAAACTAATATTATCTGACTTTACTTTATGTTTTTAAAAAAAAATTCGAACTAAAAAAAACCAATAGCAAAATGATAAGGGATTTTTAAATTTAAATTTTTAATTTGAAATTGGGCTAGATTTCTATGCAATTTGATTTTTTTAATGGACATGATCTGTTGCAATGAGGTAAACATATATGTTATAGTATTTTGTCTAATTCGAAATTCCAGATGTTATGGTAAACAGATTTTTTAATAAATAATAAGAGGATTTCACTTTTACAAAATTGTCATGATGAATTTTACCAAGGAAATAAATAGCTCGCTAAAGTTGCCGCTATTTGAGAAACAGTTTCTTTTGGCAGCGTGCCGCTATTTGTATTCATGTGCAATTTAGCCGCTAAATCCCGCTAAATCTCCGCTATAGCTCCACTATAGCTACAGTGTCATAAACGTTTTAGCCCGCTATTTAAAACCTTGAATTTTACATAATTTAACCCGATTTCTATGCAATCTGATTTTTTTAATAAATAATTAATATGTTGCAATTAGTAAAAGATATATGTGATAGTATTTTGTCTAATATGAAATTCCTAATTTTTTATGGTAATCGACATTTTTTTTAAATAAAAAAAATGAAAAATTTTGACTTTTGCAAAATTGTAAGCATAAGTCGAAGTTTACCTAAATTAAATCCACAAAAACCATGAATTTAGGGTGTATATATAGCTGATTGATTTTTTAGGAACAATTTAAAAAAAAAAAAAACAAAGCAAAAATAGTAATTGCATGTTAACTTTTCTTGTTACTATTTTTGGCAAATAAGCTGTCTCTTTATATATATATATATAAATTATCAATATAATAAAATAATACAACTCAATCATTCTACACAGTGCATCAAATTTAATTCAATATTTATCCACTCACATAATTTTCTACTATCACTTCACATTATCTCTCTTACTTTTACATCAATCAACTTTAATTATTTTATTTTATAATATTATTTTAATATAAATTCAAAATCTCACTAATAGTTAACCATACCACTTTTTCAATAAGCATTATTAAGATAAGTTATCACTGTATGGATCTTTAATGCTGTGATTAGGTTCAACACCGCACAAAACAGTACCGAAAACCAAAAATTGCCAAGAGTCAAAACCGAATCGCACTGTTACGGAGAAAAAACCAATCCGATCGGTTCGGGTAATCTTAATTCTCAAGTATATATATATATACATATATATATAATATGACATAAACTTCATTCGGTGAGGTTGAGTTAAAACCGCACCATTCGACCATAAAAATTGAATCACACCGAATATTTTTTTTTTTTTTGTTTTTGAACATCTTAACCGCACCGCAAATCACTATCATAAAAAATGAATGACACCACACCAAAAATATCGGTTCGGCTCTGTTTTTCTGTCTCGGATCTATTTTGCTTTCCCTAACTGCAATTCAATGTTCTTCTGTTCACCACAAAAAATATCTAATAAAAATACTAACAAGGACTGCGATTTTGTTTATTATTCTTTCTATTTTGGTAAACGTCATTGCTATAGTACTCAGAGTAGTTTGGTCGACTGGCTTGAGTGGTTAGCTTGGGTACGGCCAGTCTAGGGGAGCTTTAGCTCTGTTGCAGTGCTCGACCTCGTCAAGGAACTCGCTTAGATAGCCTAGGGTATAGTCGACTTGATAAGAACACCCGTAGGCCGAGCTCTTTCAGGAGCTTGAACAGATGATCGTTGTAGAGGTCGTGGTTACGACCTGGTTACAACCCGTGGCAAGTAAGTTGCGAGGTCAAGTAAGTTGCGAGGTCACTCGAGTGACCTAAGGACCTGGGTGCCGTGTGGTAATAGGGGACATATCATTTAAGGATGAAAAGTGGATCTTGGAGTCGCAGCTAATTTTACCAAACACTAATATCACATCAACTAGTTTTTTATTCATCAACTGTAATCAACTATAAGTTCAAAATTCACTTGTAAGATATTCACTATTAACTGGCTTATCAATTAAATTTACCAAATATAGCTTAAAAAAGTTAGTGTTTATCTCATAACCTTCTTAAGAAAATAGCTTTTTAAGTTCGTTAGAATTCTTATTTCATTTGACTTATCAACTAATTTAATGGAACACTTTAATAATATTAGCTAGCATTTCAGTCCTCAACTATAAGCAATTAATTATAAGCTGGAAATTAAGCTATAAGGTAACTTATCATGTATTACTTGTCCATTTATTGGTTTTTTTATTTACGATGCAATGATGCTAGCAATGCATGTAACATTCGTTACAAAAACATTTTTTTATTGGACGTTCCGTAGCTTGGCATGGGAAGCGCGCTCGAGACCCTATGCGGGCAGGCGTATGGTGCAGGGCAGGTCCACATGCTCGGCGTCTACATGCAGCGCTCGATTATAATCCTCTTCGCCACATGTCTTCTCCTTCTTCCTCTCTACTTTTTTGCCACCCCAGTCCTAAAGCTGTTAGGACAGCCCGACGACATAGCCGGGCCCGCGGGCCGCTACTCCCTCCTCATCATTCCCCATCTCTTCTCTCTCTCGGTTGGGTTCCCGACCCAAAAGTTCCTCCAATCCCAA